CTCGAGAATCGTGAGATTTCGGTCTATTATGCTAGCTTAGATTATGTGTGGTGTAGAATTGAGATGATTGTCGATGATGCATTACCATATGTAGTAGCTACTGAGATCATGTTGAGTAACGACATTAAACCATGTTCCGTTGATGAAGGTCGACGTAGAACTAATTGGTCAAACTGGAAACAAGCAATCCAAGTTGAACTCGATTCATTTGCAAAACGTAAGATGTTTGGACCTGTGGCTTCTACTCCTCCACATGTGAAGCCCGTTGGTTACAAGTGGGTTTTTCGTTCGAAGCGTAATGAGAAGATTGAAATTGTGCGTTACAAAGCTCGTCTTGTTGCACAAGGCTTCTCACAACGCCCTAAGATTGACTATGACGAAACTTACTCACCCGTTATGGATGTGATTACTTTTCGCTACTTTATCAGTTTGGTAGTTTCCGAAAAACTGGATATGCAGCTGATGGACGTAGTAACCGCGTATCTCTATGGGGATCTTGATACAAAAATCTATATGAAAGTTCCTGAATGACTTACATTGATTGGTTCAAATATTTTCAAACCCCGGAACACGCTCTCAATTCAGCTGAGGCGTTCACTCTACGGTTTGAAACAATATGGAAGAATGTGGTATAACTACATGAGTGAATATTTGACTAGTTAGGGATATGTGAACAACGAGATAGAGCATTGTTGATAGATCTAGGTAAAACTCGATATTGTCTCGGTCTCGAGATAAAGCATTGTTCGGATAGAATCTTAGTACATCAATCAAATTACACCCAGAAGGTGTTGTACCGTTTTAATGAGGATAAAGCGAAGCCTTCGAGTACTCCTATGATCGTTCGATCGCTAGATGCAAAACAAGATCCCTTCGGTCCGAAAGAGAATGATGAAGAGATTTTGGAGCCTGAAGTTCCTTATCTAAGTGTGATAGGTGCTTTATTGTATTTAGCTCAATGCACTGAACCCGACATCTCCTTCGCTGTTAATCTTTTGGCAAGATACAATAATGCACCTACACACAGACACTTGATTGGCATGAAAGACATTTTCCGTTATCTTAAGGGTACTATGGATTTGAGCTTGTTTTATCCCTATGAATCCTTGAATGGTGCTGTACCTTATGCTCCTTGAGTTGATTCTCGCCTTGTTAGTTATGCCGATGCAGGATACTTGTCTGATCTGCACAAGGCGAGTTCTCAAACGAGTTATATCTTTACTCTTGGAGGTTAACTAAACAGACCTTAGTTGCCACTTCGTCTAACCATGCTGAAATTCTCACCTTACATGAAGCAACTTGAGAATGCTTTTGGTTGAGAGCAGTAGTGGGCCATATTCGAAGCTCTTACGATCTTTATCCTGTCGTTGCTGTCCCGATGACGATCTTTGAAGACAACGCAGCATGCATTGAACAGCTCAAGAAGGGTTGCATCAAATGAGACAACACCAAGCACATTACGTCAAAGTTCTTCTTTTCACATCAATAACAAGAGCATCAGAAGATTGAAGTCACGCAAATCCGTTCACAAGACAATCTGGCCGACCTCTTCACCAAATCACTGCCAAAGACGATGTTTCAGAAGCTTGTTCATGGAATTGGTATGCGTAAACGTTTTGAGTTGTAACTTTGCTATTTCTCTTTGGAATTATGTCAAACTCAAGGGGAGTATATTGTAGATACTTGCTTGATCTTAATGTACTCTTTTTCTATACAATTAGGAGCGTTTTTCCCACTGGATGGTCACATCCCTGATGACGTCCTGTAGATGTTTCTTTTGACTTTGCATTTCTCACACATATTTCTTTAGACTAAGGATTTGGTCCCTCCTCGGATTTTTGCCAGAGCCATAGGGTTTTTTAGTGAGACATACTACTTATGCAAGTTCCTATCTTATTGAGAATAAGCGTTGTTCCTTAGAATCAGTGCCGATGAGTTGACTTCCTCAACTCCTGCATGATGTTAAATCTACCTTGAGTATTTACACACTCAAGGGGGAGTGTTGTAAACATTCCTAATTTAAGTATGATTGTGTAAATCCTAGATTAGATTTGATTCTAGTTATCATTTCCTATTGTATCTTGTATTCCTTGGGGATGAAGGAATATCTTCTCTCATTTTACTACTATAAATAAAGGCACAATGTAGGAGAGATAACAACACACATTTCCCTACAATTCTACAAACACATCTCTCTCTGTCTCTCTCTCTCTTCTCCTTGCCGCCGACCCTCTTTAACTTTGTCAGATAAAATAAACTACAACAACAAGTTCATAGCATTGTAAATTTTGGTTCTATGAGCCTTTTAAGTAAAATTCCTTCGTTTACTAGGTTAAGGATGACATGGGATTTTAAGTTTTAAAGATATTTCGAAACTTAATTATTATAAGGTTGTTAAATTTTATATTTGTTTAGAAACTTTGAGATTTTCTCATGCTTCAGAAGTAGATTCTAATATTTAAGGTTATCATTTAATTTATTTACTTTGTTTATGACACTACGTCGTATAAAACATATGAGGAACTCTAGTGAAATCCAGATTAACATCAATCTTTTGTTAGTTTTGCTACAACAAACTTTGATGCTTATGAATGGAGGAAAATGCAAGCGATGAGGCTATTGGCGGGACTCTTGAGGCTATTGGCGAGACACTTGGTGGTGCTATTGGTGATGATCTTGCACTGTTAATATAAAGAAGATTTTGTTACTTAGTCTTACGGTCTAATGATATTTCTCTTTACTTGAGACGTCTTAGATTCAATTCTCGCCAAAGCTGAATTTGAACCACATTATTGATAACTTATTGTGAGGCTAAGCGCACCCCCTCTCATTTAATGTAGATAATATCGTTTGTTTAAAAATTAAAAAATAAAGAAAATTTTCCACCTGATCTGGAGAAGTGGTTCTAGTGGGTTGTATAACAATATAAGGAAATGAGGATGGGCCTTAATTGCATGAGTTTCATAGTCCAAACAAAACATCCTAATTAATTATGCACTAAGCTAGGGCATCGTCCTGGCTGACTTATTAAGTTGTTTGCTTCATAGTTGCAACTGGGCTTTCTTTTTATTGATTGGGATTTTGGTCATGCGCACCTTCCCACAGAGCATTAGATAGTCAGAGCGTACCCAAAAATTGATAACCCAATTAGCACATAAGATGAAGATGAAAGAAAGTTCATCGGCCCATAACATGGAATACGTGCATAAACAAACTCGATGTGTGTTTAAGGATCATTTTGCATACAAATTTTCTCTATGTACACAAATTCTCCATATCATGGAGAAAAACTTAGTTATCCCATCGTATACAAAATCTTTTTTTAACATGTTATGATCAAGATAAACACAAAAATAAGTTGTATTGCAATGAATTCATGTAAGCTTTTCTCCTACCATTTGTGAAAGGAAGAAATAACAGTTAGTTTTGGACGGATAGCCTCTCCTTTTTTAATTAGAATGATGGAGGGAATGCTAGTCTCTTTGCTAATGTGGTTTGTGATATGTACTTGGGAAATGATAAACACACCCTTTATGTCTTCCATACACTTTTGTTTAATCATATCGATTGTTTTCGTTTGATTTTTTCAATTCAATAGCCAAAAATAAAAGGAATTTGTAAAATTTGATATTGGCTGAATGGTTTCATTTAATGGTTACAAAGGGGTTTTACAAAATACAGAGAGTAAATACGATCTTAAATTAAAGCATATACAAATTGTTTTCAGGTTTACATATTTGTACAGAATTGAAGATGAGTCGATATGGTAGGCTTTCCATGATATAAGGATAAACACCATAATAGAGAATCAACTGATTTTATTTTCCTTAACGCTCCTCCTTAAGTTGGAAGTATGTCAATGATTCCCAACTTTCCAAGTAAAGTCGTGAATTGCCTAGAGCTCAATGATTTTGTGAAACTGTTGGTTGACTGTTGTGATGTGGATATGTGATTCATCATGATCATTTTGTTTTGAATCTTGTCTCGTACAAAATAATAGTCAATCTCTATATGCTTTGTTCGCTTATGAAAGACTGAATTTGAGGTAATGTGCAAAACTGCTTAATTATCACAATATAACTTGTAAGGATGAGAATGTTTGACGCCCATAAATAACTTGTTATCAAAATATATTCCAACCAAGTAATTTCACTAGTACTGTAAACATTAGTATATCTTTTGCAGGTATACCCTCGCACTGATGGCAAGCACAAATTACATCTTTCATTGGTGGCAATCAAATATGACATCTATAACTTTTTGACATGATTATATAGATTACATGTTGAATTAGAGGACCTCAACCTTTTTTTCATTTTATAGAAACATTTCGAACTAAAAGACAGCATGTGTTCGAATTTTATGAATTTTTTTCCTTCTTGTACATACTATTTCTTTACCATGTACCAATAGCCGCTCACTACAGAGCTTTCTCCTTGGATTGGGACGTTGTCTTTCCTATTTGCTGCTTGGCCCATTATGTGTTCGAGTTCGAAAAGAAATAGTGGGGATTGGGACATGGTCACGTATTCCGAATGCAAAGCATCAAAACTAGAAAACACAAATTGTCGAGTGTTGAGGATAACGGTCAACACCCAAAAGTAGGGTGCTTTTAAAATTCTTTACTTCTTTGGTTTGGTGTTGTCACCATGAAGTTTTAATATTGAAGGCAGAACCAAATTCATTTACAAATACGATTGAGAACAATACATCACTCAGGTGTCACATTTTAATCATAACTACTAAATTTATGAAAAATATCAAGATAAGCTGTCAGCTGTGATCTCTAAAAACAATGATGAAGTGACTTTTTGGATTTTGGAGGCTAGTAGATATGATCATTCACACCCTTGCTTCCTAATCCATTAACTTAGAAAGGGGACAAAATTAATGTATTTTGGGGCCACTATGTATATGTTTGTAATTTTAAAGAATATATAGGTTTTCATGTAATTTTATAGACTGCAATAATTGAGACAGAAAAATAATTTTGATCCACATGTGTACATTCCATCTCTTTCAACATTACAAAGAAGTGGGAATTAATTAACAGAATTCACAAAGGCCCTAGATCCAAGCTGCACCATGACCCCTCAACTCTCAACTAGAACCTTTGATCCGTAGGTCAACTGACGAGGTAAAAAAAAGAAGGTTAAAGGTAAAGGAAAGAAAAGTTAACTTAATATTTAATTAAACAAAACATAAAAATAGATATCTGAAAGATGAACATTATGATTTATCTTTTACTGCGGACTCCAATGATTACTTCCACACGAGCTTATGTCCAAAAGTTCTTCCAAATACTCAACGCCCAAATCCTCTAATACCATCACATTTTGTGGCAAAACCTCCTGTACTTTTCTTTGATCCGTACATTGGCTTGGTTTATTACCCTTTTTGTGCATCGACTTTCTTTTCATGGAGTGCCTCCTCTTGAGTGCGATAACAGGTGAGCACGCTTCATCGTGTCTATACTTGATTTCTTGAAGAGAATCTTGGACAACTTGTGCTGGAAAATTAAGCACAGCCAAAGAACCTCTCAGTGCAAATGCAGCTTGGTCATAAGCTAAAGCAGCTGCCTCAGCACTATCGAATGTGCCGAGCCAAACCCTAATCCCATGCCTTGTGGAGTCTCTTATTTCTGCTGCATATTTTCCCCAAGGCCTTCTCCTCACCCCTCTATAAGCCTTTTCTTTTGTGGATTTTTCTTCTAGGGTTTGGTTGTTGGCTGAAGTCACCTCCTGTTCTTTAACCCCATTGAAGCTATTCGCCTCGTTCCGTGCAACTAATGTCTGTTTTGCGCCTCTGGCCACCACATCGTAGAGCAACATGTCTTGGGAGTCGTTGATGTTAAATGGTGGAAAATTCATTAACTCGTGGCTATTGAAAGGAAGTAGTAGTGATTCATCACCCCATGAAAAGGAGTGTAGTGAACCAAAGGAGGAATCTGATGAGAAGTCTGGACTTGAAAAATGGAAGAAAGCAGACTCCATTTCCATGTGGGTTGGTATTGAAAGGGTGTTTAAATTTGTGATTTTTTTTTTCTTCTTTTCCTTGAGGTGTGGTTGTTTCTTTGTTACCAAAAAGGCCCTATATATACTAGAAGAAAAACAGGAAGGTTTTTTGAATTTTGGACTAAAAGACAAGGCAGATATTAGAATAATATAAATGATTAGATTAAGCAATGAAAGGTACTAGTTACGGTCAAGGAGGATGTTTTAGGATTGTCCACCAAAATCCAGTGAAGCTTAATGTTCCTTGTTTATAGCAAGGACTGTGCTTTTAGGCACGTGGGTCAAATAAGGCCCGGCGGCGGGGTTTGACCTAAGTTAACAAATTACAGGTAATTTATATAATATAAGATTGTATGTTGCCGTGGCATCATGGTAATCCGCACTTGTTTGTAATTGGTTCGGTTTTGCATAACGAATTGAATAAATAGTTTGTCTCAGATCTAAGGAATTTAGGCTATCTTCAACTAAAGTCTGGTGAGAGAGCTCGTTTTAGTCATCTGGTCATCCAAAAAATTAATATTTTAATGAACAATATAAGACATTTCTTACCATCTTCAACCGAGAGCCAAAGGACCATATGACTCGTTTTAGCCTTGTCACAAAAAACGTCTCCAACCGAGGGCCAAAGGGTTATAGTATGGAATGTGAAGAATTGAAATAAAATGAGGTAAAATAGTATGGAATGGTGAAAAATATGTGAGAAATGGTGTATGAAAAAAATTAAAATTAAAAAAAAAAACGTCCAAAAAAAAAAACAAGATTGTTGGGCATAAAAACAAAAAGTGAGCTGGGACAAAAAAAAAACCTAATCCCTAAAGTGGGCTAGGCAAATGGAAAAGAACGAAAAAAAAAAGAAAAAAGAAAAAAAGAAATTGGGCTGGTTGGCTGAAAATGGCCAGCCGATTGGCCCTTCGACCCTTTTTTTTCTAGTGGAGCTCACGAGCCCTATGGCTGGGCCCTCGATTGGAGACGATTTTCAAGCTATTTTCGGCCCTCTGACCCTCTAGACCCTTCAATTGGAGATGACCTTAGTGTGGAGTGCTGCAGCTGATCGGTGGGGGTCAGTTACTGCCTAGCTGGCTAAACAAACAACAAACATTATCAAGGTTAAGGAAAGAGAAATGCTAAAAGACACTCTCACAAAGAGAGTCTCCGTCATCTTATATTTTTGGCATACTGTTTTATAATGTTGACATGAAAATTTTGTTAAAAACATGAGGTGACGGAGAGTTTATAGAGACTTTCACTTTTAAGAGAGTCTTCTTAATTAGCATTTCTTGTAAAGAAATTATTAATCATCTATCACCTAACAACATAAGAAAATGATATTTATGATTTTTTCTACTTGCACAACTCAAATAATTAAAAGCGTCCTCGTAAAAAAAACATTAATCATCTATTACCCAAAAAATAAGGAAATGATATTTATGATTTCTTTTACTTACATAACTCAAATAATTAAGTGTTTTCTCTGTACTTAGAAGCGTTCTCGTAAAAAAATCATTAATCATCTATTACCCAAAAAATAAGGAAATGATATTTATGATTTCTTCTACTTACATAACTCAAATAATTAAGTGTTTTCTCTGCATTTAGAATCTTGAATACTTGTTGCCCCCCTATCATTTGAATCTAAGCCATATTTCGCTCCTCCTGTCAGCTCTAAAACCGTTGTTGTAGATTGTTTTGGTGGACAAAGTATTGCTTGAAGCCACATATAAAAAGAGAGTTGTTTTATAGATGAACTAAATAAATTATCTAACTACTCTCCGAAAAACAAATTATATAACTACTAGATTGGGGTTTTGTGTGAACAAGAAATCAAAATATGCATACATATAAGATCCTTTGACATCATTTACAATTTAAAAAGCTTCATGAGGAAACAACGATGGTATTTTTTATTATCAGATTTTGTCTTTTCTCAACACTTAAGTTTAAATACTAAGTTTATAAAAAATTGTTGTTTTATGGCAATGACAGAAAATAGTTATGTATATGCATTCTTGTGTTGCTTGACCTTCAGTGTACTTCTCTCTCTTAACAACTAACAATTTAACTTATTAACGCTATCATTTGTTAAAAAATAATAAATAAGTTTGTAACTATTTTCTCCAAATATGCATATAAGGTGAGGAAACATTTGTGTATTGTTTTATCTGTTATGTAGTGTTGTACATACATCATTTTTAACTTCTCACACACCCTTATTAATTATAGTTTATTGATCTTCTTCAATTCATTCAATGACCGAAATCAAAAGCATGTAAGAAGTAAAAACATGTGAGTGGGTAGCGCCACCCTATTATTAACTCTCTCTCTCTCTCTCTAAAAAATTTCATGATTCACAATATGGTTTTTGAGTTACAAGTCCCTCCAAGTTATTAAGTTGACTTATTTTATTCAGTTTTTGATACAAATAAAGCTTCAAATTTTATCAAAATAGAGAAGAAATCAAGTGTTGAGGGATTTTTCAGACGTACAATACATGAAACATCAACCGATCCAGGCTATTCACAGAAAACTTCTTCCCTTAAGAGTGCCTCTAAACAAAAAATATATATATGTGTATATATAGTAAACCTTTAAGGGAAAGGATCCTTATTTTTATTTTTTTATTTATAAAAATAAGGATTAGTTATGGGGTCCACACCACATTGAACTTTAATGATCCAAATCATCTATTTTTCAAGTTTCACCTAATAGATCATCAACCTACCCACTCGCCTCAGTGACTTTCTTACCTCTCCGAGAATGGGAGGTACTCGATCATTTTGGGAACGTGAGTGGGGAGGACACTTTAGGACAAGTGATTCGATGTACGTGGGGGAACGGCTCTATCTACCTGAAGCTAAACATAGAGCTTCCTATATTAACCAAATCGGAAATGTTTAGAACATCTAATTGGGTTCAAAGAAATTAACGAATACTTTGTTATAGAAGAAACAATGAAATGAATTTTCGCAAGGATGATCTATGAATCGAGATTTACAAAATAGATGGTTTAGATCGTTGAGATTCGTTGTGGAGTGAGCCCCACACTTAATCCCCATTTTTTGAAAAATATGGGGATCCCTTTGCATAAAGAGTTTGTGTGTGTGTATATATAAATGGATTTTTTAACTAAGAGTGTCGCCTAACCAATATTGAAATTTGCACATAAAAAAAAAAAAATATTAAGTTAGCCACCATGAGGAAAGGACGGGGAAACTGCATGTTTCAAATTTCATCTATAACTCAAAATTTTAGCTACGCTCGTTGGAATTTGATTCATTTTGCCTCCTATAATTCAAAAGTCATTATTTTACTTTCTAAAATTCAAAATTCATTTTACTTTACCATGTTTCCTTTCCTTCATTGTCAAATTCGCTTCATTTTAATCTCACTTTGTCCCTTATAATTCATTTTTTATCTCATTTTGCCCCATAAAGCTCAAAAATCATCAATTTAATCCATGAAACTCAAAATTTACTCTACATTACTTTAATTATGTTAATTCCATTCAAAAGCCATCATACATCTTAACATGGATTAAAAAATGCACGTGTGAAAAAAAAGCAAGATTCAAAGCATACTTAGGTTGTTTTGAACTTCTCCCTCTCTCTTTCTCTAAGACTAATTTTGCTATCTGTAGAACTGGAACAAATTTCATTATGTGAATCCGCTTTGAGTGCAACAGGCTAATCAATTTCTTCTTTACTTTTCCTTTCAGATCTCTGCAACTCAAGCACAGCAACCCACAAAAATTTCAATCCTTAACTTTTTCTTTTAAACTTAATATTTTCTTACTGTTAAATGTTAACATATAGAGGAGATTTATAATCAAACACATCTACATTATGCATTAACTTTCAACAATTCGTTGTGGAGGTTTATAAAATGATGATTTGGAGTTTCAGGGTGTAAAGTGGAATTTTAGAGGCAAATTGAGATCATAATCGAGTTTCAAGGGTAGTAGCTAAAAATAAGCTTATGATATTACATTTTTACTCATCCATGTTGGCAACTTTAACGACTATTTGACAGAAGAAATAAAAGAATAAAATAAAATGAAGCGAATTTAAAATTTCAATAATGATTTTTAAATTACAGAAAATAAAATAAAATAAAAATTGAATTTTAAATAGCGTAACTAAAATAAGCCCATATTGTATTATTGAACAGAAAAACAAGATATCTGAATGAAAATGTGAAACCTGTTGCGCATGAAATTATCATTTCAATAGTACTGGTAATTAAAGTTTTTGACCAATAATGCCTAAATATTACCGACACTTTAAAATTCTATTCTTTAATTTCTTACAGAACTTGGAACGCTGTACATGCCAAATTTGTGGGCCTGTGGTTTTGTACTTTGTGCACTCAAGTAACTTTTGGTGAACTGGAACATGGCAGCCTATTATAAATATTTTACTTAAATCATAAGACGTGAATTTATTTTTATGTTAAACAAAATTTACAATGAGACATTAATTTTTTCTTTCACTTTTATTATAGCGCATAAAGTAATATTCCAAGTAATTTATGTTTCGTGTATAGATAAAAATTCCTCATCATGTGCAGGATCTTTTTCTCTATAATAGCTAAATATAGATAGTTGTTGTAAACTTTCTTAGTTTAAGTGTGATTGTGTAAATCTTATATTATATTTGATTCTAGTTATCATTTCCTATTACAACTTGTATTCCTTGGGGACGAAGGAATTTCTTCTCTCCTTTTTACTTCTATAAATAAAGATACTATGTAGGAGGGATAACACACGCATTCCTCTACAATTTTACAAACACATCTCTCTCAATTTCTCTACCATCGCCGTCGGCCCCCTTAACCTTGTCAGATAAAATAGGCTACAACACGTTATTAGCACGCTCTTACCACTGTGCTTAGGAATTTGATGAGGAGATTTTCTGCATTAAACTAGTTCATCCATATCATCACACAATCAGGTTCTTTCAAAACAATGGTTTTTATCTCGATATTTTTCCAGCCCTGATAGCATGAACATTCACTATAATGCATGACACAACTTTACATTTTTCAAATTTTAGATTCTACATAAATTATGTATGTATTATATTCATAATTGTTGAATTACGTGAATTTGATATTTGCCATGAATTGTATCAAATATATGTACATGCATTAAAATTATTGAATTGCATATGCATCAAATTGAATTATATATGAATTGAATTGAAAAAAAAAAAGAAAAAAAATTGAAATCAGGAAATAATGGGGTTCTTCGAACCCTCGACCTTGCACCATGCAAGCCATTAACACCAGGTCAGTAGCTTGTGATAGCCT